AGATAATACACCCTTTTACCTATAAACACCAAGCGTGGATCCCATCGAGTACGATGGACGTGAGGGGTGCTAATACCTTCCCCTTGCGTAACCGACTCCCGAATCCAGGTTTTGGTTGCGATGACCATACCTTTTCCCGTCTTTGCGAGGTTTACTTCGAGCGTTTCCTTTCCCGCTCTGAGGGATAAATAACGCACGGTGGCGACTCTCCTGTCAAGCCGGCGCCGATTTTCGCAGTAGCGACAAGCATAATGCTGTGTTTTTGCATTTTCTTACTTGTTTGGGCTCCTTTTCACATGTAAACTTCATGATTTGATAGGATGCATTTATGCGGATTGTTTTTGGCATATTTCATCATTCTTGAATGCTTAAGCTCGCGTAACATCCGGTTTCATTTGAATGTTAAACATGCTCATGTTGCTTGATTGATAAATGATCACATTGGCTTGTTTACTTATATCATGATTAATTGGTTATCATTGATGATTATGTTGTTGGATATTGTGATGCATGTTTGCATTTACTTCCATTTCCGTGTGGTGCATGTTCGTTTGATCGTTCGATCATTTGATTTGAATTGAAAAAAATGTGGATCTTGATAATTCTTGTTGATGCATTTTCGTTGATCGATTATGTATGATTGTTGAAGCATGTTCATTGTTGCATGACATCTATCCATGATTGGTGTTTGTTCATGATTAATTGCATTCTTACATGATTGTTGCCCTACTTACGATGAACGTTGTACGCTACGAGCCTTAAGCACATGAGAAATGATGAGTGGAGAGTTTCTCCTCACTTGTCTAGAGTGTTTAGCATATGCCCTTCAGGCGATATGTAATGCATTGGCTCCTATGTCATAGTCTTTAGTGCAACGTGAATCTCAAACAAACTAATTCACTTCACTAAAACTTGCAAACAAAACTCAAACCTTTTATCCTTCGGAATTGTTGTTTCAAACTCCTTTTCAGAAAGGAGTATGTTATTTTTCCATTCTATCACAAACAGGCATCGATCCTAATTGTTGGAATGAGAACTTAACGTCGCTCATAAAAAAATACTTAACCAACCTGTGGTCTAGTTTCCCGAACTACGTTTGCTCTGATTTCTCATACCAGATAAGGATATGTAGGCGTAAGACGAAAATGTCTAGGCGAGCAACCTTCCCCCCATCACCCCGTAGTTTTCTGAACTACGTTGACTGTGACTTTCCCATTGCACGAGGGAATACGTAGACATAGGGCGGCAATGTCCTATCGAGTCTTTTTCTTTTTTTCTCTTGTTCTTGGTTCTGGTTAGCAGTAGCTTATAAATAAACACACCCTTTGATTAGACAACAAGCGTTGATCCCGTTGAGTACAACAGACGTGAGGGGTGCTAATACCTTCCCCTTGCGTAACCGACTCCTGAACCCAAGATTTGGTTGCGATGACCTTGTCTTTTCCCATTCTTCAGGTTTTCTTCGATCGTTTCCTTTCCCTCTATTTGGGATAAACAACATTCGATGACGACTCTTCTGTTTTTCCGTCGGGTGTTTTTCGCAGTTACGACAACGATGGGTATTATGTAGTGTTCATGGGTTTGATTCCCATAGAGACCTTTTTTAGAATTTTGAAATGGAAAAAACACATGTCCCCTCAGTTTTGCATTTCACCAACGGGTATACCACTTTTCACCTTAGTTTTCTCATAAAACCGGTGGGTAAAATAATTTTGAGTTTATTAAATCTAAGGTAAATTGCTTATTTAACTAAAACTTTACTAAACATATAACTTCTCAAAATTGGTTATGAAAATAGTTATATGAATAATTGTGTTATATTTGAATAATAACTTACATTAGTTAATGATTTTGAAGGATCTTGTAACTCATCACTCATCTCACACTCTTTTATGGTTAATTTCTCTTCATTGTTTCAATTTATTTATTAAACACTTATTTTTCTACTAGTTCATTCTTGAAATAATAAAATTTGGTGCTTTGAAAAATAAACAAATAAGGAAGAAAGATAAACAAAAATTAGAAGTATTTGAGAGATTTTAACCATAAAGAAGCATGAGATAAATGATGAGTTGTAGAATGCTAGAAAAACATTAATAAGTGTAAGATATGTTTCTAATACAACATAATTTTTCATATGATTATTTCCAAAATCAAATTAATAGGTTATATGTTCAGATAGGGGTTAGTGAAACAAACAATCGACATTAGAAATAATAAACTTAACTCGACTGAATAAGATGAGAGTTGCACAAAGAATCACAAAAAATATAATCTCACTATCAATATCAATCTCTGATAGAATTAGAGTTTGACCTAACTCAATCCTACAAAACTGGTTGGTAAGGTGAGAGGTATCATTCTATATTGCATGGATATAAATGGTGGGTGGCCCGAATTATCGATATATGAGACTTGGTTTTTTCAATACACCCCCTTGCGCCCAACACTTTTTTTTGGGGCTTGGTGCACATATATAAATAATGGGTGACCCAATTTGATAGGCTCGTGATACCATGATAGAATTAGAGTTTGACCTAATTCAACTCTACAAAACTGGTTGGTAAGGTGAGGGGTGTCATTCTATAGTGCGTGGATATAAACGGGAGTGACCCGAATTATCGATATATGAGACTTGATTTTTCAATAATCTCAAACTCAAACACAATAACAATAAGTAAACTACAACATATAGATTTAATAAAACCAACTCAAAAATAACAACTTAAATTAAACAACAATGCACAAAAGCAATCAACAACATCAAGAACAACAACATCAATAAACAACCTCTAGGATTTAAGGTCTTTAAAACAAACAACAACGCCAACAAAAACATTACTAATAAACCTATAATATAAATCCGCTTAATTAGCAATAACAACAACAACAACAAGATTAAGCCTCTAGAATTTTAGGGTTTCAACAACGAGTTTCAACAACAACATCAATAAACCTATAACATAAATATATTAAACAACAAAAACAATAAAAGAAAACCTCTAAGATTTCGGATCTCAACAACACAACAACAACAAAAATAATATGAGTAGTGATGTTTGACGTATTAAATCTCTGAAGAAGAAGTAAAAGAAAATGATTTGGACCTCTGAAGAAGAAACGAGAGCTCTAAACACCTAACATCTTCGTATTGAAGATGATATATGTTTATGGCTTTCGTTATTTATGACTCTTTTGTTAAGAGCTCTTCGTTAGAGTTCTGTTTATGTTGTTTAGACAAATGAATTGAATGTTACAAGATAAAGCTATATATATATATATATATATATATATATATATATATATATATATATATATATATATATATATATATATATATATATATATATATATATATATATATATATATATATATATATCAGAGAAACATATTTACTTCGGTTGAAAAGAAATCTGAGTTGAAAAGTGGAGTATTTTTATATTAAAAATATATATTCAAGAAGTCACCACTTTTAATGAGATTAAAACATAATCTGAAGGTGTTAGGATTCAAAGCATGTACATTAAATAAGTTTACCCCTTAGTTTTTAAAATAACTGATGAAATATATTGTATATTTACTTCGGTTGAAAAGAAATCTGAGTTGAAAAGTGGAGTATTTTTATATTAAAAATATATATTCAAGAAGTCACCACTTTTAATGAGATTAAAACATAATCTGAAGGTGTTAGGATTCAAAGCATGTACATTAAATAAGTTTACCCCTTAGTTTTTAAAATAACTGATGAAATATATTGTATATTTACTTCGGTTGAAAAGAAATCTGAGTTGAAAAGTTGAGTATTTTTATATTAAAAATATATATTCAAGAAGTCCCCACTTTTAATGAGATTAAAACATAATCTGAAGGTGTTAGGATTCAAAGCATGTACATTAAATAAGTTTATCCTTTAGTTTTTAAAATAACTAATGAAATATATTGTATATTTAAAAAAAACGTGTCTAGGAATTTTACCACAATTTATTAATATGTGAGGTGAGATCGTTGTTATAAAAAATAATTTTTCTAATAATTACACCTTCATGTTAACGCTAATATGATTACCAAGATGGATCTCTAAACCTATTTTCGTGTAAAATGGTGTGACTCATTCACTTAAATCTTGGGAGTGTAATTTAAGTGTGCTCAAAGATGTATATTTGAGATTTAGGAGATTTAGAGATTTTTTTTTACCGTGATCAACTAACACCTTATAAGATAGATTTAATAATAGCCGTCTAATATAGACATGAGACCCAATTAATAAAATTTATTTTATATTAAAATATATTAAGTACGTAAAATTGTACAATATTTTAAAAATGTTCCGTGACCATACTTTTTATTATATGCAATTCATAATTTCATATGTTGAACTTTTAAACTATTATTTTTTCTCAATTTTAATGACAAATAAAATCATTTGATGTATATTTTATATAGTGTTAAATATTGTATTAGTCTTATAATTTAAATAACACATAAAATATATGCAACTAATAATGATGAAAAAAATTATTATACTTTTTTAGGATGGTAAAATGAGTCGATCCCCTTGTGTCGGCTTGTTTGATTCACCATTTTTAATAAGTTGGGCCGATGTTTTAGACTCTTGTTTTAAATATTTCAATTATACCATTTTTATTTTTATTATTAAAATTTTTGAAATTGAAATTTTTTATACCCTTAAATATTTCAATTATACCCTTGTATTAATCTTAAAAATTAAATCAAACAAATCCTAATTAATCGATGAATACACATTAATTTTGTTTTCTTAATAGAGCATGATTTGATAGACCACTGTGTTTTGTCTAATAAGAATATCATCAGTGTGGTGTTTGACGGTGACAGCATAAAATTTAGCAAAATTAAGCCAAATTACAGTTTGGTATTTCATTAAACCCAAAAGTATTTCAAATATTGCCTTACAAAAAGGTAGAATAAGATAAAACCCTAGTGAGAATTCAATGCCTTGAATCTTACTCCAACCACAAAGCTAAAGTTCTCGCGGCAAATCATGAAGCTCTTGATAATCAGAATAGTATGATGGATTTTGAACGTTGCTTAACTCAAAAGGTGTTGGATGAAATAAATCATGTTGAAAAGGATGATCAAAGTACATGGACATGTAAGAAGCTTCATCATTCGATGATGACAGATGATGAGCTAATGAAGAATGCAAAGTTGGAGACATCGAAGAGCTTTGAGGCTGTTGAAACTGAGGATCTTCAGAGACGCGATTCAATATGGAAAGACGAGCTTGAACATAGGCTAACTCAGCTTGCAACTCCATAACCTATAGTAATTCATGTAACATATAAATATATTTACATAAACAACGTTGAAATGTTCAACTTGTTTTGTCATGCATTCAATGTTTGAAATCACTAGACATGTAAATTACCTACTGTGAAAGTGGCATGCGGAGTTAGTGAATGTTTTCCATATAAAACCTAACAAACCTGACAAACGTGTCAAAAGCAAACAGAACATACTCAATAATACTATGTAATGTAAAATATAGTTTTTGGCTTACGTGCAACATGTCACAGTTCACAGTGATTTTTGTCATCTCACAGTTTTAGAAAAGTACACATTCTACAGTGTTTAACTTTTTTGCACTATGATATTTTTCTTCTTTCTCCGATACTATTATATCGGACACCGATACGTCGGTAGAGATATAAATTTAAAAATAGAATATATTAAACATAATAAGATATGTGTCTGTGTCAAACATTTTGTTCTAAGATATCAGGGTGATAGAGCTTATATTAAACCTAGATATATAAAAATGTATGTAAGAAGACATATATACCTGTTGTTGAAGAGAAAAGATATGAGCAACACAGCCATAAACAGGGTCAGTAGCCCTAGCAAGAGCCTCGTAGCAGAGAGTAACAACAGCATCAAGACGTTTATGAACTGGAATGCGTGTGAGTAGCTTGGATGCATTGCTAGCACCAAACACTTTGTGAATAGCAGCAAAATGAGCACTTCCTTGACCTGATGACTCAAAATAAGGTGCAAATATGCAACATCCTTTCACACACTTTCTTCTTAGAAACTTGCACGCACCACAAGGTCCACCATCACCATCTCTACCACCACATCCCAAATCCATTCTCTCTCTCTCTCTGAGTTCCTTTCTAAACCCTACTGACAGATTTTTCTTGTGTGTTCCTCTTCTCTTACTAACCCTACCTTTGTGGACACCCCCTTTATAGATTACAACTTTTCACTTTTTGCCTTTTGAGTGTACTTGTGATAAAAAGAAAAATATATAAAAAAGATGAATAGATATATAAGAAGTCAAGTCATGTCATGAGAAGGTACTGCATAAGAGAATAAAAGTTATTCAGAGTAGTTACCTAGTTAGTTATAGATAGGTTATGTAACCAAAAAAAAAAAGTATAGATAGGTTTTAATTAAGTAGAATAGGGCTTTACAAGATTTCATCATTCATTATGACATGAGTAAAATTAACTAATGATTTTTTAATCAAGACTCAATCTAAAATAATTTTAGATTAATGTGAAACTTATTAATAAACGAGGGCAACCCGATATTTGTGATATATAATGATGAGAATTAAAAATAAATAGCATTATATTAAGAGTTTAATTGATATGCACTGACAGTGTAAAATAATTTTACACTGTCATTCAATAGATATTCATCAATCTGTTATGTCATATCAGTAATTTAAAATTTACAGTGTAATGTGACGGAATACATGATGGTGATTGGTTGACAGTGCAAAATTATTTTGCACTGTCAGTGCATATTCTATTTTCTCTTATATTAAAGAAAAACTATGGCGTGCAAAAGTGAGTTCAACATTAAATATAATTTAAAATCTTAAAATATTAGATATAATAATTTTCTTACATTGTCATATTTTTAGGAGGTTCTTATTGGGAAGGATGGATGGTAAGTGAAAGATCTCTTGTTAATTGGTCGAATGTCAGTAAATCTTAGCAAAACAGAGGTCTAGGCATTAATGATCTCCGTCTTACTAGTGTTATACTGGATTTTTCGATTTGACTATAAATGACAAATATCATGAGATTAGCCACATGTATGCTACGTGGAAGGACAAAATAAAGTGAGTCCGTATGAGGACCAATATGACTCAAAGTCGGAAGTCACATGAAGTGATGTCGGTCGAAGGTGGCAAGGTCGAGGGATGTGGTGAGGAACTTAGGGACTTAGTGAAATTGAATACTATGCTATGTTGGCTAAAGTTAGAGTTCACCACTACAATGGAAGCAATATCACTCAGTCACCACATGTGGAGTTCATCACTATAATAGAAACATTGTTGACTTAGGTGCGACATGTGGAGTTCATCACTACAATGGACAATATGATAGAGCATTTTACTTTAACATGGTCGACGTTGAAGAGCTCGACGAGGATAATCAATTCTTGGCGCCTAGAAAAGCAGTTGAGAAATTCAAATGGTATCACGAGGCAGGAACTGTGTTAGCACCGACGACTATTCAGAGAAAACATGGGAGCACGTCGAGGAAAACTGCTGCATGGACTTGGGACATGTCACCATATGAGTAGTTTATCATTCTTAGACAGTTATCATAGAGTAGTATATAAGGACAGTTAGGTTCATTTTGTAAGGGGTCCACAATTGTACACACATTTCTGTAAACTCAAAGTACTTGCGTCTTGAGAAATGAGTGAGGGAAAGATGAACGTATTCGTTCCACCATTTTATACATTTTCAGCAATTTTACCTTAAAAGTCTTTTTTATGCATTAAACACTACAAAAAAAACTGGATATTGCCACTTGAAATTTACTTCACAACTTGAAAAATTACTTCATAAACTGGTATTAGCGACGTGACTATTCACGTGGCAGGAGGACGTAAAAATCACGTCGCAACTTTGCCACGTATTTTCATGTCGCAAGAAATAAAATAGAGTTGCAGTCACAACAGGCGTAGCAGAGAAGGTGGCAGGCATGAGTAAGAAAGTTGTGATGTGATATTCACGTGGCAAGTTGCGATGTGATATTCACGTGGCAAGTTGCAACGTGAATATCAAGTGGCTAAGTTTTTATTTATTTTTAAATTGGTTAATTTTTTGTTACGTTTAAAAGTAATTTATATTTTTTTTTAAAATTTAAAATTAAAACTATAGTTTGTTTTTTTAATTATTTTAAAATACAAATTTATTATTACAATTTTTCAATAATGATTTTAATTGAAAAATTAATAATTATAAATTTTTTTAAAATTTTTTTCAATAATAATTTAAATTAAAAAATTAATAAATATAAATAACAAAAATTAATAAATACAAGTAAATACCAAAATTAAGAATAAATTTTTTAAATAAAAAGTGTATAATATACTAAAATGTAATTAATATTTTATAAAAATAAAAATTTAAAATTAAATAAATGCTTCGGATCAACCCGAATCGGGAAAATTGTCAATGTCAAAATCATCGTTATCCTCGCCATCCCAGTGTTGTTGACCACCAACTTCTTAATTTCCAACAACTGGATTACTGCCACCTTGTAATTGCATAAATTGGCGCATCATCGTCTCCATTTCAGGTTGCCTCTTATTCATTGCCTCTATCTGACGTTGTTACTCCTTTATTTGGGCCGCTGTTTCGCGTCTCGCTTCAGTTAGCGTCGGTTGTCTTACCGTTTCTAGCATCTCGGGGGTCAATTGTGGTTGATAATGCGTTTCTTCACCATCTCTAACTCTTTGAAATAAAGTTATGTCCCCTTCTCTCACACCACCGACCAAAGCTCCAGCATCAAATAAACATCTCTTCGGTCCCTTTTCGCCAGTTACTAAACCCCAAATATAAAAATCCACTCGTGGATTAAGCGGCTCGAAACCTCTTGGAGTATACTGAGGATTCTCTACCAAAAATTGTGTGAGCAATACCTGGTAATCCTCCTACACATAAAAAAAATTAAATTGAATATAGCTTAAATAATTTAAGTTAAATTAAATAATAAATATTGCCACGTGATTTTCACGCCACAATATCTCAGTTGCCACGTGATAATCACGTCACAAAATTGTCATTAAAAAAAACAATTTAAATAAAATGAAACAATATACTTATCAAAACTTTTTTGGCGCATTCGTCAACAAAGCCCCCCCTCCCCCCGATTTGTTTGTTCTAGTCTTTACAATTAGCTCTGTCATGAGTGGAGGTCTCCCCAATCTCTTTTCCTAAATACAAATCAACTTTAATTAAAAATATATAATAAATCATAATATAACTTAAAATAGAAGTAATAATTACCATGCGTCGAGCATGTTCGACAACACTTATACTTCCAACTGCATTAAGGCTACCCCATTTTCAGATGCTCTCATTTTCTTTGTTTTTTCAGATCTTGCCTTAAAATCAACATCTGAATCCCAGTAAATAAGAAGTTCATCGAATACTTATTTGTTTATCCAGTTGGGACAAATATTTCAAGTTTCCAACGCTTTCTAGCACGCCTCCTCTATCAGAATATGTGTTACAGATAGAGTTGCCAAAGGGATGGAAGGTCCATAAGTTTAAAAATTTCCTGGTGACACCAACGAATCTATTGTCGAACACATTGCTCGTTACCTGACAGAGGCAGTTGACATTGCTAACAATGAGAACCTGAGGATGAGATACTTCTCTAATAAAGAATGCTTTCACATGGTTTAATATCCTATATGCTAATTCAATCCATGATTGGGCGCATTTGGAGAGGCTGATTCTTGAGCAGTTTTACATGGGGCAATCTAGGATTAGTTTGAAGGAGCTACCGAGTGTCAACAAAAAGTTCACTTAGTCTATTGACGATTACTTAAATCGATTTCATTTATTGAAAACAAGGTGCTTCACCCAGGTGTCTGAACATTAACTTGTCGAAATGACTGCTGATGGGCTAGACTATTCCATTAGGAAGAAGATAGATACTCAATATCTGAGATATATGGCCCAATTGGCAGATAGAGTTAGATAAGTCGAGAGGTTGAAGGCCGAGAAGGCTAGAGCGAGTAAGGGTAAGAAAAAGAATATAACATATGTTGACATGCAAGACCAAGACGTAGTGTCTGAGGTCGAATATGGACATGTCAAGGAGTCTGAGGTTGACATGGCTGAGTTAAAGCCAGGTCCCTCATATGTGTATAAGTTGCTTACCCCTGCAAATGGGAAGAATCCTGCAGAACCAAAAGAAAATGATAACTTTCCTAAGAAAACTTACACCTTCGACTTAACCAAGTGCAATGAGATTTTTGATTTGTTGGTTGCAGATGGTCAAGTGCTTATCCCTCCAGGCACAAAAGTACCACCATTAGAGCAAAGAAAGAAATGAGGGTTTTGTAAGCATCATAATTTCTTAGGACATAAAACCTCACAATGTTTTCTTTTCAGGGATCTCGTGCAAAATGCATTGAACGAAGCCAAAATCAAATTTGCTAAGGGAAAAACTCCTATGCAAATTGATGTTGACCCATTACAAATTGGAGATGCTAGTTATGTAGAGCCTGCTGCAGTTAACATGGTTGAAATTACTGAAGATTTGGGCATGGCTAAATTTGAAGAAAGTGAGAACCAGATCGAAGTTGTGTTTCCAAAAGCTGGTGAAAGTCTCGTGGAGTTCTTTTACATGTGTCGTACCTCGAAAAATGATAGGCGACCTTGCGATGCGCAATCGCACGCTCGTGTGATGGACTTAACAGAGTTGTCACCGAACTTTATTTATTCCCAAATAATGAAAGAGAAAATATAGATAAAACTCATAAACAAAAATGATAGGAATGGATATGGTATGCTTATCCCAACCAAAACCAAGTTCGGAAGTCGGTTATGCAAGGAGAAGGTATTAGCACCCATCATATCTATTATACTCAATGAGAACCATCTAGGTTGTCTAAGCGCAAATGGGTGTCGTTATCTAAGGGTTACTTGCTATTGGAAAAAAATGGTTGGTTTTTATTAGGGTGCTCACAAAGACTTTGCAATCTCGCGCCTACGTATCCTTATAGTGCAATAAGAAATCAGAGCATTCGTAGTTCGGGGTACTACGGTTTGTTGGTTTGTGTTTTGTTGGATGACGAATACTCGAATGGTCGAGTAAGATAACTTGT